ATGAAAGAACTAGATTAACCCAAGTTAATTCACTTTATTGTTCAAAATAAAGAGGAATAAGCATTGAACTCACTTGCAAATTTGGGGCATGAATTAGGGGTGAGATGTTGTCTTTAAGGACTCTGCCAGTTTAATTAAGATATGGAAAATTACTTATTGTTCTTCACCACTAAAGTGCTAGGAATTAACAGCCAAATGTGATGCCTGTGCCTTTCATATCTCTACCATGTGTTTGTTTGTTTAATACCCATAAGACTACATCATTAAACCTCAAGCACTGATTTCACTAATTCAGCACTGGAGCTACATACTACAGCAGCAAACACCTTTTCTAGTCAATCATAATTGAACAGCTGGATGTAAAATGCAATATTATTTTTAGGCTCATATCTAACTTTGACTTGAAACCCACAAACAATATTTTCCTCTAAAACAAAATACCTTCCTATCTTTGTAATACCACCATTAAATATAACAATAGCATCAGGATATTGTGTGATATATGTTGCCCAGTTTCTCAGTTCCTCATACAGTTCCCCTGTAAATTTGTAACATTATTTTTCTTTTCTGGTGTTTGTTTTTTATATAATGGATTTAAAAACAAAACAAAACCATGAAGTAGTTTGCTTTGTTTCTTTAGGAAGTATTACTTAAAAGAGCAGCTGACCTTGTTGAAGCCCTATATGGAATGCCACACAACAACCAGGTAGGTCACCAGTACTTTTTTCATATACATGCTTACATATGTAAATCAGTACCTTGTGTTTGCAAAGTTGGCAAAATATCAACACATTCTTTTTGTACACAGTATAGATGTGCCAGCCACCTTGAGGGCAGTCTGATGTGATGCAATGCTCCAAGGGAAATGCTTCATCTTCCCATTTTCTTTGTACAGCTAGTTTTCCTATCAGAAATGACAATTAAGTGTAGGGTGCCAAAAACATAAGTAATCATTAAGACAAGAGAATAACCTTGAACTTGGTCCAAAATATACAGTGGCTAATGGGAAATCCTAAGTAAATCTGCTAAACAGAGCGGATAAAACATAACATATTTTGCAAACTAATGGAAAAACATTGCTGCAGTCTCCAAATAAAGTATATTTTTACAGTTTTCACATGTTACAGCACTAGACCAAATGTTTGTTAACTTCTTCACTGCTTTATATCTGTTATGCTTACAGAAGAAATATACATAACTTCAGTAAGCAGAAGGAAGAAGAAAAAGTTTAATCACAGCCATAGAAACAAATATCAAATCCACGCATCTGCATAATCATACCATAATCTCTGCCATTAATAATAATGTTATTCCAAATCAGGGCATGTTATAGACTATCAGGTAACATAAACAAATACACTCCATGTTAGCAATTAATTCTTTTACTGCTTTGTAGGAAATAATCCTGAAACGAGCAGCTGACATTGCTGAAGCGTTATACAGTGTGCCACGCAATCACAACCAGATTCCTACTCTTGCCAACACTCCAGCTCACACTGGCATGATGGGAGTGAACTCATTTAGCAGCCAGCTAGCAGTTAATGTTTCAGAAACATCACAAGCTAATGACCAAGGTATGTGGGGTTTCAAGAGTTAATCCTTCATATTGATGGCTGTTCTTTGACAATGTCTATTAATAGTGGCTGATGCCATCACTATGCTTTATCTTCCTCCTCTTCCCTTTAGCCCTGTCTTTGATTGTGTAATGTAGCGCAGTCTTTAAATTGCAGATATCACTTAATTCTTCCTTTTTTTGTTTTATCATGAACCATCTGAAATGAAAAGATTTATGCAAAATGCAGAAAGATATGACAGCACATTGTGAACATTAGATATGTATTGTATATATTTATTATAAAGCAAGTATGTCTGGAAGTCCTCCACATTTATTGAATATGTGAACATGGGAACGTAAGGCCTGGGGGCTTGATGGTGCCCCCTGCTTTCCTGGATCTGGTCTCCCAAGACCTAGGGTTCCCTCCCTAGTATTGGAGAGCCTACACTGGTGCCCAAGTGCTCCCTTCCCCCACCAGAGCCTAGGGGGGGCCCAGGCTAGCAGATAATGTGTGCTCCAGTCCTGTCCCACTTCCACTGCAGACCTGGAGCACACAAAATCTGTTAACAAAACTAGGCTCTGGCGTGCAAGGGGAATGTGGGGAGTGTCTTTCTGCTTCTCAGTCGTGGGCCACGTCCAAGAGGGTTTGTTTTTCTTTTTTTGCTTCTCATTTGTGTGCTGCCCCCGACTGATTTTTCTGAGAGTCAGCAGCCCCCAACCCAAAAAAGATTCCCCAGCCTTGATTTACACTGGCATATCTAATTTGCCCACAAGGTATTTTTAGAAGATTTTATAAACGTAAGACAATTTTATACAAATGTAGGTATAGAATATATAAAAATACAATCCTTGTAACTTAATTGTTCTAACATATGTACAGCAAACTGCATTTTAAAATTAGATTTATACTAATGAAAGGAATACAAACAGCTTCTTAGGTATATTCAAAGCCATATTATTTTGCTTACAACATAATTATATATTGATTGCACAGATGAGAATAAATTCAGGCTGATGTTCCATAGTTAGACATCCAGATTGTGCCTTGTCTCGGCTTACAAAAGAAGGTCTTTTAATCCACTTCCACCCTAGAAGTCTTATAAACATTCTCCACTTTGGTTCTGAGTTAGTCGTCACAGAAACAAGCACCTTTATGGAAGTACTAGCTTACTGTTAGCATAAAAATATCAAACATAAAAATGAAGACCCCAAAACAGCCTTTTAAAGTTAAATCACTGCAACAAACAAGTTTTTTCCTGTCAGCTATGGCATTTGAAGGTCTGGAGAGGCTGAAAGTTCATCCCAGTATGTTGGTACAAACCAGGAATCAAGCCTGTTGATAATTGCTACTAAAGACAAATGTGAAGGAAACTGACATGCTCGGATCGAAGAGAGCTTTTGTTGGCTGTCTATGCTAGTAGGAGAGACAACATAGAGTGCTCGCAGATGATTTAAGTAAGGTTGGCATGATAAGGTTATCTTAAACTGCAAGAGTTGATAGGGCAGTAACAGACAACTTAGAGCAAAGCTGTGCAATCAATTAAAACTCTGTAATATATGATGCATGAGGAAACCCCCCAGCCCTCTAACTTTATATTATAAATATTAACATTATTTTTTTGTGGTGGGGGGGTTTCTAACACAGTAGGTTACAGTCGCAACACAAGCAGTGTTTCCCCGCGAGGATATGTTCCGAGCAGTACTCCTCAGCAGTCCAATTACAACACAGTCAGCAATAGCATGAATGGATATGGCAATGCCGGCATGCCCAATCTAGGTGTACCAGGTTCCCCTGGATTTCTTAATGGCTCCTCAGCTAACTCTCCTTATGGCAGTAAGTGTCTATTTTTGGTAACACATCATCATCCTATAGATCCATGTTTATTACAAAATCGGATACTTGTACTGTTTCGATTTTCTATAATGTGAGCTACTGGATAAAAGGAGGGGTGACTCTGGAGGCTGGACGTAAAAATGAAAATAGTAAATTGATCTTTATTTGCCATAATACAATCTCAGAGAAAAAAATCGGACTGCACAATTTGTCACAAAAGTCCAACACAAAAGAGTTTGCCTGTTATCCAGAGAGTGGCCAAGCCAAGGCATTTCATTATTTTTATTTTTATCTATCTATATTTTTTTCAAATATTTTAAGCGGCAAGGCCCTATCACTCTCTTTTTCCATGTTTACCATGAAAAACCTCAAGCTGAGTCCTGATTATTTTTGCTTTATTGCAGTAGTGCCGTCAAGCCCTACCATGGCAGCCTCTTCGGTCACCCTTCCTTCAAACTGTAGCAGTACACACGGCATTTTCTCATTCTCACCTGCCAATGTCATCTCTGCAGTGAAACAAAAGAGCGCCTTTGCTCCAGTTGTCAGGCCCCAAGCCTCTCCTCCACCATCTTGCACCAGTGCAAATGGAAATGGACTTCAAGGTGAGCTGGATCTCTCATTTTTTGTGTGTATTGCAGGCTTTTCAGTGCATACACTAAAACTCTGTCTTTTTGGAGAGTGGTGCCTTTTGACTTTAACCGAAATGAGAAATGACAACATTTTAGTTTTCTGGTTCTGCAATATAAATGCAAGAATATCACACTTAAAACTGTAGCACAAAAATGTGCTAAATTTGAAGCAAATCCTAGTTTGATTTTAATTCTTGCATTAGAGGGATATAGTAGCTGCTTTCCTGGCATTTTCCCTTCAGGTTTCATACATTAAACTTTAAACTAAACACATGTCTCTGAGTGCTCCTTACAGATCATGTATACTCTCCTTACATTTCCTTATACATTCTCTCCATACATTTTTGATGAATATTTTTAACTGTAGTATTACAGAGTAATATATTCCCCCCATTTAGACACACAACTGTTATTTAAAAATGTCAAAAGAATGAAAACTGGTTGAAAATGTTGCTTAATGGATTGACCTTCCCTGTTATTGCAAACCAGATTAAACCAATTTGCATGTTTTGATGGGCTTTATAGGCCCATTGTTGTCATGTTCAACTAGATACAGTTCTTGGGCCTGTGAGAAAAATGAAATGTTTTAATTAAAACAGGCAACTCTAAGGTTCTGCTTTTTTGTTTGTGTGTATAAATCAGTTGCAGGATTCACTTGGTCACCTGCTGGCATTGGGGCAGAATTATGGTGCAATGCAAATTTATAAGAGGAATAAGAACATCCACAAAGGGATGTTTTCCCTTTTTACGTCATTTCTCAAAGTATGGATGATAAGTAATGCCTGCTTAATTTGAACAGTTCAAAAAGGTTAGTTGCCTAACTGTTTTCCAGGGCCCAATTCTGTGCTGTGCTGAACTGAAACAGCTCACCTCCCACTGAAGTCAGATGGGATTGCAGGCACTGAAACCTCCCAGATATAGACCCACATTTCTCAGCAAAAATTCTGAACTTTATTATTGACACTGCAGTAGTGCTTACAAGATATCATGCACTTTCCAAACACTTTACTGTGTAGAAAGTAAATCTAAAAACTATGCCAGGTAGAACCCATATTTTTGTAAAAGTGCCAACATCCATTTAGCTAGATAAAATAATTTGAAAATGGATATTAAAAATGATCAAAATGTACATAATTACAATAAGAGAGCCTCCCTGCTGAATGCTCACCATAATAAAAAAACTCAGAAGCTAAATTTTGAAAGGCATTTAAGCAACTAAAAATATAGGGAAGCATCTACTGGAATTTCCAAAAGCCCTAAGCAAGTTAGGTGCCTATCTTCCGCTGGCTACCCATCTTTATTTTTAGGCATCTAAATAATTTCTAAACTCTGGCCCCAAGTAACTACGTATGTCTGGCACCAACATATTCTGGTTTCATCAAACCAAAGAGAAAAACAAATTCCAGACGTGAAGGCTAACACCACATGGTGGTGAAATTCACTGTACTCCAGGAAGGCCAATCAAGGCCCATGCACCATTTACATCCTACATAAGTCCTATTTTGAGGATTTAAGCAGAATTTAAGAAGTGCACAGGGGTCGTGTTGTCACTCTGCATTCAATGTGAATGTTATACTCCTACCCCAAGATTTTAAAGATTTTCCGTTTAAATGTCCCCGCTTGATTTCAACAGTTGGTATCCAGCATACAAATTAGGGAGGCACTCACAGTTCAGAATCAAAACCTTGAATTGAAATGTGCCAAAAATGAATGGGAAGCTACTGCAGTGTCTGAATTGTCATATGTGCTTCTCTAATGAAATACCACAAGAGCTTCTGCATGAAGAGTTATTTGGAAGAGTTCTTTTAAAAAAAAAAAAACACTTATTGACACTGAGTCAATTTCTGGTGTGTGTTACTAAGTGTTTCTGTTAGTTTCATACACATAACTAGAGATTTCTGGTCAGCAAATTTAATAAAATAAGAAATAGAACAGCTGCCATTTACAAGAATTGAAGTTCTGGAATGACCCAATCTGGAGGAGGTGGGGGTGTGAAAGATGCATAAATAATTATTGATATCTCTGCATCTTTAGGAAAGGTCACAACTATATAGTCAAGAAAACGCTGCTGTTTACCTGACGATCCAGAAGCAGCCATGGGTCTATTAGATTTTGGACCTGAATTATAAAAGGCGCTATGTCCCTTTAGTTAAAGGGGCAGATATCACTGCTTGTCATGTTTGTTTTCCCCTGCATAGCCTCTTGTCTGGATTAAGACTCAACCAGCTAGCTCTCATCCAGTGCTAGGAAACCTGACTGATCATACTGTCCTGGTCCAGGAAAGTCTGAGAGGTAGCGCTAAAGGTCACCAGCATCCCAACGTCATTGTTACACAAATTGTCTCATGGCCTCCCCTTGAGGCCTTGTACACATAATGAACAGAAGAGGTCACAGAATTGAGCCCTGTAATATCCCACACAATACAGCCCTTGGTGCAAATGAGTAATGGCATTGTAGGGCTCGCTGGGGTTTACTGTAATCCTTGCTGTTAAACAAACCAGTTGCTGGCTTTGACTGTATGTGAGAAAATAGTACTCTCCTTAGCAAATCTGAGATTACTTGGTTTAAAGCCATCTTTCTTCTCTTCATATCCATGAGGCTGCCAGATCGTGTATCAGCCCCCAGCATAACTTAAAGCATCTTTAGGGCTGCTCCAAGCTCCTTTGCCTTTTAATGGTAACTTATATTTGCATTTCACTTTCCCCAGTGCTTACATATATCTTCTGCCAAATTACAGTACATCTTTTTTAGGACCAGATTCTATAAACTCTTGCTTTCAGAGTAAGTTGTTTGTTTAACCTCAAATGGATTATTAGTGTGAGTAAGAAGTACTCATGTAAGTAAGGGTCTAAAAGATTGGATCTCTAAGCCCTGATCCCACAAACTTTTATGTGCATGCTTCATTTTAGGGACATGAGTAACCCTGTCAACTTTATATGACTTCAATGGGACAACTGACATGCATAACATTTAGGGATCTTTGCAAGAGCAGGGCTTTAGACTGAAAGTTCTTTTGTGGCACAATCTTTTTTCCTCCTGTTAAGCACCATTTATGGTACTGAATAATATTTTTAGTGAGAAAGCTATGGCCAGCTGTGGACTCAGAAATGCAAAATTTAAGACTTGATTTTCTAATATATTTTATAGTTTGTAGATGGGGAAAGCTGTTTGACATTGGTACAACATATGATTGCAATGTAGAGCAAAACATATTCAGTATTCTTTTAAAAAGAGTTATTATTTGCCTGGCAATTAAAATTATTATTTACTATTTATATTACTGTAGCACCCAGGAGTGATAGCCATGAACCAGGACTTCACTTTATAAGGTGCTGTAAAAATACACACTAAAATACCCACAAATCATAAGCTCCTTGGGGAAAAGACTTAGGGTTCGTCTAGACTACACTGAAGTTTCAAAAGAGGATATGCAAATTCAGTAGGAATTTGCATATCTTCTTCTGAGCTCATCTTCAAAAGCAGAGCTTTCAAAAGTGAAAGTAGTTGGGACACGGGTTTTTGGCAACCCCCCCTTTTTCGAAAAGCCATGTAAACCTCATTTTTTTAGGAAGAGCAGCTTTTCAAAAAAGGAAGTGCTGAAAAAACCGCGTATTGTCTTTCAAAACTTCAGCGCAGTCTAGACATAGCCTTAGGGTATGTCTAAACTACATCCCTCTGTCGGCAGAGGGATGTAAATTAGATGTATCAAAAGTGCAAATGAAGCCGGTATTTAAATACCCTGTGGTTCATTTGCATAAAGGCGGCCGCCGCTTTTTTCTGAAATGGGGATTTTTGAAAAAAAAAAAAAAAAAAGGCAGTGTAGATGGGGCATTTTTGACAGAAATGCCCTGCTTTGAAAGATCCTGTACTCCTCAAAAAATGAAAATGCCATGTCTAAACTGCTGGGGTTTTTTCAAAAAGCCTCATTAAAAAAAAAAGCAGCAGCTGCCATTAAGCAAATGAAGCACAGGAAATTCAAATCCCGGCCACATTTGCGATTTCGATCTGTCTAATTTACATCCCATATTGTTGAAAGAGGAATGTAGTTTAGACGTACCTTAGTGAATTGTTCTTTGGAAAGAGATTTTATCTCAGTTTGTATGACCAACAGCCTGATTGTACAACTCAGAATGAATTCACTCTTTGGGGTATATATTGAGGGAAATGTAAAGGTAACCAATTTTAATATGTATCAGAAGGCCACAGCTGACCAAAAACTCTCAAGTGTGACAAGAAATTTCATCATATTTAACAATATTTTTGTTTAAAAAAGAAACAATTTAGAATTTTTGCAGAAAATGCTATTATGGAATCAATAACCCAAATTCCTGCACTGTATGATCTAAACTTGCACATAGTTAGGAGTGACAAACAATTAGTATCAGTTTGTTGTGTTCATTACTAATATATTCATGCACACAACTTCTGAAAAAAAATTGGATTTCCCCTTTTAAATTATACTTTTCAGAATTCTATTTTGGAAGAGAGAAACAGGTAGATTCAAGGACCCATGGAGGACATATGACTTGGCAGTACTTTCTTGTTGCCTCTTCAGTATCACCTTGAGACAGAACAAGATGGCATCTCCTAATGATTCTGAATACATATAGGCCCAGATTCTCTCCTACGTTGAAACCCATTCGGCACAGAAGAGAAGGATGGCTCTCAACTACCAGATTCTCTGGGCCAGTCTGTGATGGTTCTGGCTCTAGGCTATTCTAACCTATGCGAGCTGACAGTGATTCCCAAGGAGACCGTATGTCAACTGGAGAAAATGAAGCATACTACATTCTGACCAAGGCCCCTACCTGCCTCCCATCCTGGGGCTGCATAGAGATGTGACATTGGTTAGCTGTGCCAGCTCTACATCAGCTGAAATCTCTGTTTCACCAGGGGCATTCACACCTGGCAAGATCTGGCTACCATCCAAGACCATTTTGCTTCCAGAATGGCATAAAGGAGCCAGAACAGAAGAGAATCTGGCGCGTAAATTCTGCTGTAAACCTGTGACTAGCTTTTGCATTTACAAGATAGACACATACTTTGCTTCTACCTGCATGTTTGCTTCGCCCAGCCTAATACCACTATGGAGTGCAGCATATTTAATGAAAACGTTATATATAAAATATAGATGATTTCCATGGAAATGTTCTTTGCCAGCATACATAGTTTCATATTACTTAAATCCTTACATTGTTATATTAAGTTAATATGATGTATCAACTTTTTTTAATCCAGTTTTTACATATTGGATAAACAAGTTTTAAAAAACCTTTTTAATTTTGAGACTAGTTTCATAACTCTAACTGGGAAAAAACTAATCTAAATTTAAAATCTGTTTATAAAATGTGACTCTTAAGATGTAGTTCTGAGTTTTAAAGGAGCCTGAGTTTATAAGATGAACTGCAGCTGCCTTAAGAGTACATCAAACAAAAATTGCTTGGAGCTCAAATCCCATAGTTACCACAATGTCACCCTTTGAAACTGTAATAATGATCATTTAAAAATGTTATATTATATAAAAATGTGTACATACCCAAGTCTTCCAAATCATAAAGTTGTAACGATGAATCTGAAATAAATTAATATTGTTGAAATTAATGAACTGAGAAATTGAAGTCACATCACTACATGAACAAATTTATTAATATCTGTTGTACATAAATTAATGAAATATCATTCTGACAAAAATTAAACAAACTAAAGTTAAGACAGTCTGAACTATATTCCTATCATGGAGTTAACTAAAAAGCAGCAATAGATTTTGGCTTCTCAGTGCATAAGTGTTAAAAAAATGAGCTAGCTAGTCAAGTATAATCTCATGCCTGTTTAGAACGCTTGTTCTAAGGATGCCAAAGCAGGTGTACTGTATTTGGCTTTGATCTTAGAGAGTCCTTGACTTAGTCAGCCTGATATTATGATAAAGTACAATTAACAGAATGTCAAAATAGAGGTTTTCCACATAGGTCGTAGTATAAGGAG